CCAAGCTAAAATATCAAAGGACAGAGTCAAAAGAAAAACAAATGTATTCAAAATAAAACATATTTGAAGCTAATTTACCTACCCTAATTAACATATGTTTGTACAAAAAAAAATATAAAAAAAATAAAAAATGATATAAATCAAATTCAATTAACACGACAAAAAAATATACATATATAGAATAATACATAAATAATGTTAAGATTATATTATTTCCCTATTGTTTTCTACCAGTGTAGTTAGAGTTGGATTAAGAGTGGGTTCCAGGTGGGAACCTCTAGCGCGGCCGCGAGGGCTTATTATTGTTTCTCCTTAAACTTCTTATATTCCAAGTTCCTATCTTCTTTAATTTATACTTTTTCTTTTGTTCCTGTTTAATTGTTCTGGTGTTTTCTTGTTTACTTTTGTTATTTTTTTGTCACTTTTTATAATTTCATCACAGTAATGTATACTATATTCTGCTACGTTTTTGTTTTTATTATATTTTCTTGTTTTTTTTTGGTTCCGTTCGTTGTTTTTCACATCATTACCATTTCATTGCCACTGCCCGTCATCAGTTTTCCGTCAGATTCATAATTGATTAGATTTTTGAAGTTTGTTCTCTACATGTTCAGTTATTTTATTCCATCGCCACACTTCTCCATTAACATTAATCTTATTATACCCTCTATCTTTAAGATATTTCTCTTTTCTTGGTCAGTTTTGGCAAACAGTTTTATTTTCTTTTGATTCTCTCTTTGAGTAGTTTGAGTGCCATATATGTCTCAACTATTTCTACCAGGGAAATATAACTCACAATTTTTTTTTGGCTCTTCTTACCTAATTGTTTTTTCCTTTCTTTTAAACTATTCTTCTTAACAATTGAAAATTAGCGTAATTAATTAAAGTTTTCTAAATTATAAAAAAAATCCAAATTGAAATTTTTAATTTTCTTCTATATTAGTTATTCCTTTCAATAGTAAAAATAATGTTGTAATTAAAAATTGTTTCTAAATTGCAATAAAATACTAATTCACCACAATACACCAAAACATTTGCACTGGACGCGCGTTTCACTAACCATGTTAGTATCATCAGTAGATGATTAAAAATGAATTTTGTAAATTGAGTTGATTAAAAGACGATTAAAACTAAGTTTTGTAAACTGAGTTTTAGGTCTACCTGTGAGTGTAAAATCACGTTTTTGCCCAACTCTATAAGATACATATTGTTAAGTCATTTTAATTTTCTCTAACAATTTTATAATTAAATAATTATTGTAATACTTTTAGCTATATATAATTTGTCTGTTTATTACTTGACTTGTGTTTATTTGACTGTTGAAGCTTATGAAGCTTTTTAACATCTTTTGACTCTGTTCTTTGATATTTTAACTTGGGTTAGGTTAGGTAGAGGATAATGTGTTTGTGAGGATTGTGAGGATAATGTCTAATCAATTTAATATGTAAACGGTCATATTTCTTATAAATCTTTAATAGAATATAATTATACTTACTTTTTGGTATTTGTTAATAATTTTAAACAAAATTTTAATATTACTAACAGAAATGTTTATGTTTAAGCTGTTATTTATAAATAACTGTAACAGTAGCAACTGCTATTTAGAAATATCACTTTTATCCACCTTATTTCTGACGTTACTACCACAGAAGTTTGGTTGTTTGAACGTCGTCGCTTGATAGTTAATACGTCTATTGTTTGATTTTTCGCCAAATTAAAAGTGTGCAAAAAGTGTATCATTGTACGAAAATCAATCGGAACAGGCATGTCGCGTGTCGGATTACTTTCGTTTTCACCTTTCTTTTGTTCGAAATCAACCGAACATGATGCAAGTACACGAAACTCGCACATACATACACACACAACCTAAAGTTGAGTGACGGGTCTTTGACTTGGAAGATTTTCAGTCTTTTAAACGCCTTTATTTGATAATTACGAGACGCGCGAATGCCACCCAATAAAAAGGACATAACAATTGAAAAAAATGAGCTCTAGGGTGTCTTCGGATTTTGGATTGTACAAGTTGAACGATCCGCCCAAGAGATTTTGGAATGTGTGGACGACCAGTTCTTTAGGAGTAGCCATTTTGTGTTTTTTCTTTTTGGTAAGTATTGTTACTTTTACTGTCATTTCTCGGTGTGGGTTGATTGATATAATTTCGGTAAATCCTTATTTTCCATATCTTACAAATTATTTGTTCCCGTATTTATACAAAAACAAAAATTCTGTATTTTCTTATTTTTTAAAATACATTTCGATACCCTATTTTGAAATCTATTCTGTTCATAATACACTAACCGACACGAAAAACGCGCACCTTAAAATTTTTCAAAATCATTAAAAATTATTTATTAATGACAGATATGATTCATGTTTATGAACATATTTTTCATGTTACTCCTAGATACAATTACAGTTTAAGTTAATTGATTTAAGGTAGTAAATAATTCCTAAGAATTATTAAAAGAGTTATTTACTTCTATATTACATTAGTAGAAAAATATCACTTGTACACTCTACTAAAATTTTGACGTATTTTATAGTTTAATATATTTTGTTATAGTGGGCCGTTTTTATAATTTTTAAGCAATTTGTAACTAGATTATTTGACTATCTAGTATCTCTTTCTTAATTAAAAATGACAGTTTCCATATGTCAATTATACGAGGGAAAACAAAATGTTGATATTTTGGTGAAAGTTTGAAACACCCTGTCGAATATGTTAAGACAGCAAGGTAGGTAACTAAAAATAATTTTATCAACTAGGTACATCTTTTCTCGATAGTTAGTTTTTTGGTTCATCTTAATAGCTTTATTTTTGTTGGAGATATTCGCTTTTGAACAGGACACTATATTTTTTTCGTAATTTTTTACATTAAAACCATGCATTTGCTTTTGCTCCCAGTCATCAGACCTATGTGATATTAGTGTTTATGATTTATGTAATGTCACTGTTATTGAAAAATCATATTATTATTGTCTGAAAGAGATGCTAAAAAATCAAATTATTTAACTAAAAATTGCTTAAAAATAATCAAAATCGGTCCACTAGAACAAAATATATTAAACTTTAAACCCTTTCAATAATTCATAGGAATTATTTACTGCTTTAAATCAATTAACTTAAACTGTAATTGTATCTAGGAGTAACATGAAAAATATGGTCATAAATATTATGAATCATATCTGTCATTAATAAATAATTTTTAATGCTTCTGAAAAATTTATAAATTTCTGGGTGAAGTAATATTGAAGTTACTATCTTTTTACTTAGTATTATCCTAAGGTGTTTGTTTTTGTGTTTTTTTCAAACCTTTAAATAAAAATATTGAGGAATTAGTATAATGCTATCCATGTATCCGTCCATTAAAGACGGAACTGACTATATGAACCCCCATTTCTGACAGTTCTATTTGACGTTTCAATTGACACATTTGAATTTCATTTAAAATTTTGCGAATTTGTTGTGCTTTCCTGAGCAACTGGGTTTGTTTAGAGGCAGTAAATTTAGAAGAAAATTGTGTCAGAACTAAAATTAACAGTTACATTATTAGTAATTCCAGAAAAAGGCTGTTTAGTCAGCCGCTTCACCTAAATTTGTTAATATGCTCGTTAATCTTTTTATTAAAAGGTGTTACCAAATCTGTAAAATCTGCTGTAACTTTTTTTGAACGTGGTAGATAATTATTATTCAGTATTGAAACTAAAAGAATTTAACGCTTTCATTGCCTTTATTATTCGGCTCGGCTATGTCGAAATACCAGTTCTAAATAGATCACTGAAGTTAAGCGACGTTAGGCGATGCGAGTGGATGGACGGGTAACCTTCTGGAAACTCTGTCGTACCGTTGTTCCCTGACAAGAGCGTAGAATCTATTGACATAAATACATTGCTCATTCATGCCGGTTCAATGCCGGATGAGAGCGGATATCTCGTGAGTAAGAGTCGATATACTCGTAGACACTCGCCAAGTCGGTAGGCCATTGATATGGACAAATTGACATGGTCAAGGATAGCGGTTCAAATTCCGCGTAAACAAAATAGGTCCCGTCCAGATTTGTCATAGCAGCAAAAAGGAGGGGAAAATCTATTTTACTGACCAGCATAATTTACTACCTAACCACCTTAATTTTGGTACTACCACCCAAAAATAGACTACTACCACCTTAATTTTGCTACTACCACCCAAAAATAAATTACTACCACTTTAATTTTGCTACTACCACCCAAAAATAAACTACTACCACTTTCATTTTGCTACTACCACCAAAAAATAAACTACTACCACTTTAATTTTGCTACTACCACCCAAAAACAAACTACTACCACCTTAATTTTGCTACCACCACCCAAAAATAAACTACTGCCACCTTAATTTTGCTACTACCACCCAAAAATAGATTACTACCACCTTAACTTTGCTACTACCACCCAAAAAATAAATTACTACCAATTTAATTTTGCTACTACCACCCAGTGGTAGTAGTTTACTTTTGGTGGTAGTAGCAAAATTAAGGTGGTATTACTTTCAACTAATCTCAAAAAGGAAATTTTAAATTTGGTCAGTAAAATAGGCACCCCCAAAAAGGAGCCGTTAACTTAAAATACTGTACTTTATGCTGTGTTATTATTACTTTACTTAAGAAATTAAAGACAATGGTCCGAACTTTAAGTTTCACTACTTTGGGTAACTGATAACTGCTACAAAATTTTTAGTTAAAAGCTTTAAAAATTATTTAATATTACTACCTTTAGATCTATAGTAAAATTTAGGATCACAAATGACTTTTAACAGCAAAAGTTAGAAAAATACTTATGTGATAGTAAAAGCTAATATTATTAAATATACTGATGGACGCTTAATAAATATTTAATTTTAATTTTGATTAATGGAAAAGAGGAAATATTCCCAGTCATGATTACTTGCCACTAAGACATAAGATAGTAACAACACAGTTACACGTAATTAACAATAATTGTCGTCACATATTTATTTTTAGATTACGATAATTATCGCTTTAAACACGAAGAATCGTATTAGCAGTGGAAGTAACCAAGATATCAAATCCGATAGTCTATATTTAATGAACACTTACGGAAGCGATAATAACTTCAAACAAAATATAATCAAGAAAAGGAAAATTGACCAAAATAAACCAGAAAATCAGAAATCTTTTGCAATACCCGTAGAAATTAGCGATTCAAACCCAAAAAATATTCAGGAAATCTTGGACTCTGCTCCAAAGAAAGCTGAGGATCGACAAAGCATTTATAACAATCCAGATTATAATAAATATAAGCTCCATGGAATTGGATTTCAAAAAGATGATCTTTTTTCGAGTTTCAAACCATCCGCGCCTGGAGATATAAACAATTTGGTTGCTGGTTTTAGATTTGCTCCATCCAATTGGCAGGTTGTTAGTCAGACTCCACAGAAACCTTCAAAATTTGTACGAACAGCTGATTTAGTAAGACAGCATAATATGGAGCAACCGATATATTATGTCGTTATGAACATTTTCACAGTTGGAAATAGCAAGGATCATTACAGAAATATTGAAAATATTGTTGAGAATATGAAGATATCTAAACGGGGACAACTTACAATGGATTTAAAATTTTTGTAGATGTTATGCGTGGCTTGTAATTACTTTTTTAAACGTATATACGAATTACAAACAATAAAACTTATTTACCTAATGATTAGTTAGTTTTTTTTTACCTGAAACATAGACTTAAAACTTTTCTCGATTAATTCTTGATTGATTTCTAGAGTTACGAAAAAAATGTTAATTAACATACCTACACCATAAGTTATTTTTAGTTTACTTTTAGAATCTGCTTAAATTAAATTATATTATTTAGATTAAAATTCCTTAAAAAATACATAAAAATTTTGCACTCATTGAAAATTATTAATATATTTCAACTATTTTAAATTTAATTATCTACTTTTTTATACATATCTAATATTTGTATTTTGGCTTACGGATTTTATGAAACCTTTCAAATTTTTTACATAGTTATTAACTAAATATATACCTATTTATGGCAGTTTAAAAGTAAAAAATGTTATTTTACCAGGTTTAAAAAATAAATGTTATCTACATTCTCCAAACTTTTTAAAATATCCAACCCAAAATCAAGTCTAAATTTTGTACCTTATCTTTCGCATAAATGATTGTATTAAAATATTTTTTCGCTAATTATAGATATTGAGATAATGAATCATATAGTTGAATCAACCTGTTTAACAGCTGCAATCAAATCATTTCAATGGTTTGTCAGCAATTATATACTTCAGTAAACATATTATCGTTGACCAAAAAGACTATTTTCATATTATATTCTATATTAGACAATTAATTTTAAATGTTTAGATCTACATTTGGTGTCACATTTAATGTAGTGAATAAGTTTTATGATCAGGCGTGCTATGAATGATGAAGGAAAATCATGTTTTATGGGAGAAATTACATTAGATTTTTTAATTCTCACGTCTACGCCCGCTTGTCCTTAAATTATTTTTCTTTAAATATATGGGTTACGAACCCAATGCGTCATAATGACAGGAAAATTATTCAGAAAATATGAAAAAAAAATTGTACAAATTGTTACTAATAACTCTTACTTTGTTACTTTGCGATTAGGCATACGAGAAAAGTACAAGTTTTGACTTTTTTATCTCTCCATTTACAATTTAGCATTACTTCCTATAGCAGTTTGAATATATGATATTCTTTTTTTGGGAGATTATGTATTTTACTTGTGTAATTATTTAATTATTTTGTTCTACAAAAGTAAAAGTTTTTTTTAAATAATTATAAAACTATTTTGATATTTCGGAAAATTTACAAGAAATTTATCTGCTTTTTAACCGTAATTTATTCATTGTTTAACAATTTCAAAAATAATAACAAAAACACACTTAAAGAAAACAATCTAATGAAGTTAAATTTAATTATTCTAATATTCTGATTGATCATCTTTTGCTAATCAATCTCTCTTTATTCTTCTAAATGTTAAAGATCTTGATCTTGATCTAAAATAGATCTACCAAATTAAGTTTCTGAGTCGCAGTGAATTACTGTGATTAATTTATTAACTTATTATAAGAGCCATTCCGGTTCCATTTAGTGACAGTTGTAGTGACCTGTCAAAATTGGTTACTAACCAATAAAGCTTGATTTTTATGCATCCGTTGTCCGACGATACGATGATACGATATTAATTTTATTGGTTGAATTTAAAGACTTCGGTTGGTTAGAAACGGTTAACCAATCGAAGCCTTTAAATACAACCAATGAAATTAATATCGTATCAACGTATCGTCGGACAACGGATGCATGAAAATCAAGCTTAAGACTACTAACTACCGTATCATCGAAAAAAAACGGTATCCAGTTGGTTTAGAAATGAGGATCGATGACATTCCCCATATAATTTTTCATACAAAATGACAGCGATCTTCATTTCATGGCGATCGCTTACGTCGAAATTAATAGGATGTTTTGAAATATGCATTATTTTTTATTAAACAAAATTTAAAAATAAAAATCCGGCATTTTAATAGACAGCATGCATATGTTATTTATGTTTTATCACACTTATCACAGTTCACACGAGCAAACCGGTTAATAAACTCAAATTAAGGTTTACGTGAGGACCCTTAAATAAATATTTTTATAAATACTATTAAACTTTTCCATTCCCAAATAGAATTAAGGCTACTATTTACTATTGTTTGAAAATAAAGTAGGTAATTGGTTAAAAGAGAATTATGTGTTATTATTGCCCCCCCATTACTTATTTTAATATTTCATGTTATTATCATTAAACTTAATATAATTAAGTAAAATAATTTTTCTGTTATTTAGCTAAACAATAATAAGTTATTTAGCTAATCGTAACTACTTTCGTGATTACTTTTAAAAACCATGCATGAAAGCAAAATTATTTACCTCTTTAAGGCTGAAAAAAGCAATTAGAAGTAGCTAGCTGTGATATGAATTTTTCTAGTCACTTAATGGCACATGTATAAATTACTTTTATTTTCTCTTAATTTTAGCCTTCAGAGAAGATGTCGCTCTACATACTGGATGTTACTTTTTCCATAGTTGTTGTAACAAATCTGGGAGTAGTAGTTTGGCGAGGTTTATGGTTGTTAGTAGATTTGTATCTGTTTCCAGAAGATCTGTTATTATCATCATGGGCTAGTCTCGTAAGTATAAAGCATTTTCCTAAAATATATTTTTATTTAACATAAAACCATAAATATTATACTCCACTGTGTAATTTCATTCGTATATCGCATTTTCAAAAATTAATTATGTTATAAATCTCGTTTGACTAGAATAACCATAATTAATATTAATAATAATTAATATTTAAAAACAATCAAAATTTTAATAAAGTAAATGGCAATTTAGAGCAAGTACTTTTGGCACTAATGAAGTACAAATATGATACGATCGGAAAAACCGACGTCAAAGACGGCTGTGGAATGAAAATCGATGATGGTACAATTCTCTATTTTTTAATGGTGCTTACCACTGGCTTTAAGAAGATTGTAATTTATTTTATTTTGTGTAAACATTATTTTTAAATGGTGTAGTTTAAATTTTCAGAAAAAAAATATTTTTTTAGAAATAGATTTGTGTCTGGCAACGTATTACACTTTTTTAATCTTTCTATAGTAGTGTTATTTTTTGACAAGTTTTATGTCAATTTTTAATAAATGACATCGATTGTCATTCCCCAGCCGTCTTTGATGACGTTTTTTTCTCGATCATACGGTGCAAATTTAAGAAATTTCTACCCCCATTAAGTTATTTTTATAATATTCTAAATTATCTGATACTGAAGTCTTGCAATTGAGTGAAATATCAATTTTTCATAAAGTAAAAATTATGCAAAGATAACTAACATTAAAAATGAGGAATTTAGATATTTAAAAAAAGATCATGTACCATAACAAAAGAATAGTAATAAGAAATGAGTAATTAGGTTAAATTTTGTAATTAAATTAAATTATTAACGTACAAGTTCATAATCTTAGAGAAATAAATGAAAGATGCTTTACCTAAAATATTAAATTAAACAATATTATTATCAATATTTTTTTTAATTTGTCATTTGTAGATTTTTAAAATCATCAAAATTGTAGGTTTACTTATGTGAACAAATGTATGATATTTGTAATAGCCTTGTTTCATGATGTACCTATTAACTTCAATACATATCATTTTGTTAACAATTTAATATATTTATATTAATAAATGTCTATTTTTCTAGTTTTTAGGATATATTATGGTAGCTATAGTATTTGCTTTACAATCACCAATGAAAAAAGTATGTGATAATTTGAGCGGAATTCCAAAACTAATCATAGCTGACACATACCTGGTGTTTGCAGTTTTAAGTGTTATTGTAACATGGAGAGGAATCTGGAGTTTAATAAACTTTTACTTTTTACCAGGTAAAATATTTTTGCATATTACATATACACATTGGTCTCCAACGAGTAAATTAACAGACCATAATCCACGTGACACAGTTTATCTTGGTACAATAACTCCCTGAAGCCGTGCAAGTTCTCTACCTAAAGCACTCGTAGTACTTAGTCGATTCCTTCTAACAATTATTGACAACTGACAATCTTGTGTTGCATTGGTAAGCTTTTTCCGACCCTTTCCTGGTCGGTCCTTAATATCATTGGTTTCGCGAAATTTTTATTAATTCTTGAAATGTCACTTCACTTTGTGATAGACCTTGTTGTAACAAAGTTACTATTCGGCTTTAGTTAAAGTAAGAAATAATATTTCTTGGCATTTTTATACGACAATTGCGTGATCAGAATGTAGCAGGGGTTTTAAAAAAGTTTGAAACGTCGATATACAATTTAAAAACGCATAAAGGTTGATTCTTACTATATCTTCCGTTTCCATTCCATATCAATTCCATATCCGTTCCGTATTTTTTATTGTATTGGCGCTATACGTAAGCTTCCGTTTCGTATAGTTCCATACTTTTTATTGTACAATTTATATCATTACAAAAGTTTTTATTATTTTAAAAATTTGTATCTTTTGAAAAAGGTAATAGATTTAATTAAGAGGTGAAAGAATAAATAAATATCAACAAAATGTCAGCAGAGCTGGTACAAATGTAAGAATTTGACAACGCTGTTTCCGATACCTTTCAGTCCGTCCGCCAAAAAAAATGTATGGAAGGAAAGGATATGGAACGGAAGGGAAACGGAACGGCTACTGCGCATTGTCCTTTTCATTTATATCATATAATATTTTATGGAAACGGAAGGTAGTTAATACGGAAGGTATAGTGAGAATCAACCTTAAAGCATAAGAAAAAAAAACGTATAAGCCCGAAATTATATTTTTTTGCTAGACATTTGCTGGAGTATTATGTATAAGATTGTTATTTTTAGAGGATGAAGAACTAAGTTGTTGGATATCCCACTGGGTCCCTATGATGATCCTGATGATTATGGGTTGTTCCAATTCCGTCTTAGTTAGGGGAGTATGCATAGACTGTGAAGAACCCGACGGTACCTGCGTAGTATTTCCATGTAATTATTTGAAAGTTATCTTCAAAGAAGAAAAATACGAGACGTGGTTTACTATTTTGGCCGGGA